AGCGAGCGGAGTAGTAAGTCAACCTAGCAGATAAGAGGGATACAAGAAGAAAAGAAAGAGAATAAAAAGAATACAAGAGTATGCATAAGGAGGATAAATGGTAATGAACAAAATACAATAAAAATTAAATTTAAAATTTAATAAAAGAATATAAGAGTATTGAACCCAGTGACATTCTTTATCCATCTGGATCCTTTACTCAAATTCTACTTTCTCAAGTAATCCCTTAGTACCCCTTCTACACATAAATCACCACCTTCACACCTACACTTAAACTGCTCCCAGGGAAACCCTCCCTAATAACTGCTCTTCTCACCACTCAAACTCCTGCTTCAGGCTTTCACCACCTTGCTTCAGACTTACCAACCTGCTATTGTGTCACTCTAACCCCCGTCTCGCCCCCAGCCAATTCCACCATCCTGTGCCCAGAGTGACATGTCTAAAAGAAAACCCACAAGCAAGGACACGAGGCCCTTCAGGATCAGACCCCTTTCAATTTTTCTCGTCTTATCCCTTAACGAGCCCTCAACCTAAAATCTACACCAGCCAACTGCTCCTTCTCTCTCAAATGCTTTTCCTCCTGTTTTCCACCTGCCCAAAATCTGTTTTGTAAGCATCACTACTACTATATAACGCCTTTCTGGACCCAGGCTCCTCTGCTTTGGGGTCACATCATAACCTGTCCCAGATTTCAGAGCACCTGTAACACTGTATCCTTATTACACATTTATTGGCTTATCTACCCAACTAAACCCAGATCAGGAATCACCTATTCATCTCTATATCACCAATATGAAGCACAACTCCTAGCACAGAATTAATATTTAGAACATTTTGAGTGAATGAAAACAACGAACAAGCCCTGGCTGGTGTAGCTCAGTGGATTGAGCGCAGGTCTTCGAACCAGAGGATCGCGGTTCAATTCCCAGTCAAGGCACATGCCTGGGTTGCAAGCCAGTTCCCTGCAGGCCAATTCCTAGCAGGGGACACACTAGAGGCAACCATACATTGATGTTTCTCTCCCCCTCTAAAGATAAATAAATAAATAAATAAATATTTTAAAAAAAAGAACAAATTAGTAACGTTAGCCCTTACTGTCTACAGGCTGCATGTATTATCTGGTCTACAAACTATACTTTTAGCCCCTAAGGAACCAGGAACACGTTTCACGGCTCTACATCCTCCACAGCAACGGGCACAGTGGTGCAGGTGAAGGTACTGCCGCCTGAGCTCAGAAAGACTTGGAAAAGAAAAGCAGAAGCCAAAGCAATTTATCTACTAAAATACGAGATACCACTTATCTGACTGCCAAATTAAAAAATGAAAACAAGCCCTGGCTGGTGTAGCTCAGTGGATTGAGCTCGGGCCTGCGAACCAGACAATCGCGGTTCGATTCCCAGTCAGGGCACATTCCTGGGTTGCAGGCCGGTTCCCTGCAGGCCAGTTCCCAGCAGGGGATGCATGAAAGGCAACCATACATTGATGTTTCTCTCCCTCTCTCCTTCCCTTTCCCTTTAAAGATAAATAAATAAAATATTAAAAAAGAAAAGAAAAGAAAACAGCCAGGCTGGGTGACTCGGCTGGGTGAAGCATCATCCCACACACCAAAAGGGTGCAGGCTGAATCCCCCAGTCAGGGCACATGCCTCGGTTGTGGGTTCAATCCTCAGTTGAGGTACAGAAGGAGGCAACCGACCAATGTCTATCTGTCTCTCTCCCTTCCTCTCCCTCCTCTTTCTCAAAATCATTAACACCTCCTCAGGAGAAGACTGGAAAAATAAATGACAACAGCCAATATGATAGCTATTCAGTGTGAATGAATCAAAATTACACCTATTTTTTTGTTGGATAGGCAAAAAGTATACTCTTTGGTGTGCCACAGAATTTTAGTAATTAGTTTATGTGTGCCATGAGGCAAAAAAGGTTGCAAATCACTGAGCTAGACCAATGTAAGCAACATGACCTAGGTAGTCAAAGAGGCGAGGGTCTGACATCACATCACCTGAATTCAATCTTTTTAGACATGAGAATTGTTTTGTGATTGTTTTCAAAGTGTTTATGGTTCAGAGATATACACTGAGATTTATAAACAAAATTATAAAGATGACAAGGATTTGTTTTCACAAGAATGTGATGGCGAGGGTCAGCGCAGGGGAAGTAGAAGTAGACAGTGGGCACAGAGAAGGGTGGGAATAAAACGAGTTTGGCCATGAAGTGATCATTGTTAAAGCTGGGTAATGAGTACACGTAAGTGTGTATTTTAAATGTCCCAGTACCAAAAGTTGAGCAGGGGGACCAATCCACATTCAAATCCAGACTCCCCATTTACTTATCTTGGGGCCCTGGGACACTAAACCACTCAAAGCCTCGTTCCTTATCTGGGATACAGAGATAACAATAGTGTGGCCATCAGGATTAAATACAATATTACATGTAGAAAGAGCTTTCTAAAGTCTAACAAACTATATAAATGTTAACTGCTCTTAGAAATATTATTAGAGATGTATTGGTAACAGAGTTATATTATTACATAGTAATAATAATAGGTAGACACTGCTTTCAAAAGGGGGGAATGACTAAAAATAGACCAATAAAAGATTGAAAACTTCTGAAGAGGAGAATCCTGGCCTCATTCATGTAAAACATGAGGGAAACATTTTTGAGCCCCTACAATGTTCTTCTACCTTGCCAGGCACTGGGACAGTAATTACCAGATTTGCAGTCTCTGAATTCAGGGGCTCCAAGTCTGAAGGAGACAGACACACATGACAAACAACGGCGATACTGAGAGCTGATAGATATGCTGACAGCACACTGTCCAGTGCCCAGAACAATGCCTGATATTTAATACGCGTTTTTTTACTTAACTTTTTGTTACTGTTGTTCAATTACAGTTGTCCCCATTCTCCCCTGACCACTCCCCCCAACCCCAGCCATCCCCACCTCCCACCCTCGACCCCACTCCCCTTTGGCTCTGTCCATGTGTCCCCTATCCATGTTCCTGACAACCCTTCCCCTCTTCCCCCCAATAACCCCTCCCACCTCCCCTCTGTTACTGTCAGTTTGTTGTTTATTTCCATGCCTCTGGTTTATACTTTGCTTGCTTGTTTGTTTTGTCAATCAGGTTCCACTTATAGGTGAAATCATAAGGTATTTGTCTTTCACTGCCTGGATTATTTCACTTAGCATAATTAATAAGCATTTTTTTAACTGAGTAAAAAGTATCACAGAAGCACTTATTCAGCAGATACTTATTTTATTACACACTGTTTAAAAAACAAACAAAAATGCTGCTCAAGAGCAGAGTACATTCTAGTGTGGAAAAATAGATAAGAAAAAATGAGAATATTATAAAGAATATTAGAAGACGGTAAGTGCTGATGGAGAAAACAAAATCAAGGAAGGGGGCTAGGAAGTGCTGGGGGTGGGGCGGGCAGTCTCAATTACAAATAAAGGGATAAAGGAAGGCCTTAATGAAAAAGTAGTGTTTGAGCAAAGACCTGAATGAAGTGTGGGAAGCGGATGTATGAACATTTAAGAGAAGTGTTCCAGGCCGAAGAAAAGTGTCAAGGCTCTGAGGAAAGAATGTGCTTGGCGGAGAACATGGCAGACCAGATGAGAGGGCAGTGTGGCTGGAGAAGGGCTCTAAGCCAAGGGAACGAACGGCACGTGAAAAGACACTGATTACTGAAAACACACAAGGTCTTTGAAAAACTGCATGTATTTTGACTGAGCTAGACTATTATGTGTCTAAAGAAAGAGACCTTTTCATGTCAGACATAAAAGATTTTTAAGAAGACAGTTTGTGGGAAGAAGAGAGACAGAAGGGGAGAAGGTAAAAAGCCACTGCAAGGTAGGGCTCCAAGACATTATCTGCCTCTTGACCAATGCAACATGAAGTACAAATCATCTATAAAGTATTCTCAAAATCCTCAGAGATAAGCTTCACCAGATTCTAACAATTAGATCTGACTTCCAGTTCAGTTAGTACAAGAGATAGAGAAGCAAGCTACCGGTTAACTCCCAAGGAAGGAAATAAACTCAGAAAACAAGACATTTTACAAAACTGACCGAGTTTCTTCAACAGATCAATATCATCAAAATAAAATAAAATTGATCTAGATTTAAAAAGAGTAAATGCCACATATGGACACTTTGCATTTTGATTTGAACAAACCAACTACAAAAAGATATTCTGGGAAAACTAAAGAAATATGAATATGGATTAGTTAACAACATTAAATAACTATTTAATTTTACTTGATGGGATTAGGTGGTTATGGCTTTAAGTCCCTTTTTTAGAGATTTTAGTAAATTATTTAGGAAAAACCATTGTAATACTTTTAAAAACTTCGGGAAAACAGCCCTGTCCAGTGTGGCTCAGCTGGCTGGCGTGTCATCTCACAGACCAAAATGCTGTGGGTCTGATCCCCAGTCAGGGCGCGTACGAGCAGGCAACCAACTGATGTTTCTCTCTCACATTAATGTTGTTCTCTTTCTTTTTCTCTTTCTCCATCCCCCCCACCCTTTCTCTCTCTCTAAAAACAATGAAAAAAATGTCCTTGGATGAGTATTTAAAAAACAAACAAACATCAAAAAAAGAAACAGAGGGAGTGAATTTGGAGAAATATCTATAGCTGTTTAGCCCCAGAGATGGGTATTTGGCATGTGAGTAGGCTGGAGGAGCAGAGGAGGCAGGAGGGTCAGTGCACAGCACTTATCCCGTGACCATCCAGGGAGTTGAGGGTAAAGGAAGGGGAAATCTGGAGAAGCCAGCAGAAACCCCTATCTCAACCAGAAGTTCTAAACACTGTAAACTTCTGAGGACAGGACTGGATCTTCATATCTCTATCCACAGTGCCTAGTACTTGGAAGACACTCAGTAAAAGACTGCTGAATAAACACCTTATTTACCGGTATGCTGAAATGATAACCCATTCTGCAGACATGACACAACTCTTACACACACCTCCATCAGGCAGGTTCACAAGACCATCTTACCTTATAATAATGTTCCAAGAGAATCCTGACTACTCCCTCCACACTTTCTGCTTCAACTGGCTTCCGGGCAAACTGAAGTAGGTACTGCAAAGCATCTGCTGGAGAGGTGGCTTTACACAGGTCTATGTGGAGTGCTGCAGATTTACTTGGTTTTGTTAGTCGGAGTTTCTTAGTAGCAATTTCCTCCTGTTGTTGCTGCAAAGGGGTAAGAAAGTTAAGACCTGAAAACACAGTCTGCAAATGTTACTTTACCTCATTTGATGGAAATGATTTTCCCTTATACCAAATAATGTACTTAGATAACAGACCTAGCCTTAGGACAAAGTAGTGTTATGAACTGGAAAAAGAGCACTGGATTGGAGACAACACTTTGAGTACCAATTTTGCTTTGGGCAGGTCATTTAATTTTTCCAAGTCTCCATTTCTGTCTCTGTAAAGTAAGTTCACTAACATTCTGTTCTGCCTACCATGGCATGATAAAAAGACCAGGGGCTTCAAAATCAAGAGAAATAGAGGTTCAATTACTACTTACCTATTTCCATCCTACTCCACACAAATTCACTCTGCAGTGTTATCTGAGGTGCAGTTAGGTCAAAAGGTGACAAAGGTTTTTTCTCCAAAGAGAGTATATAAAGGTGAGGACAAACCAATATCTGCAATCGATCAACCATCAATAACACTTTAGTGAGCCAGGCCCCAGGGTCTCTCCAGGGGAGACAGAGATAAACGAGACATCATCTCTGCCTTCAAAGAACCCAGGCTGGTGAAAAGATATGTTCACTGGTAATTACAGTAACACTGAGTGACAGGTACAAATAGATGAGTGTGACAGAGTGCCATAGAAGCAGGGAAGGAAGGGACTAAACTTTTGCTAAGGTTTCAACTGGATCTTGAAGCAAAATATAAATCCACCAGGTGGAGAAGAAAAATAAAGGAAAGAATGACATCCATTCTATGTAAAAGAGACAGTAGGTACAAAAGTTTGGAGATGTGCAAACACATGGCACACTGGAGGAGGGCTGAGTAGTCTTGAGAAGTGGAAACAGCAGAATGTTGGAATGAAAGTAGCACTGCACAACATGAATGTACTTAATGCCAATAAAATGGTTAAGACGGTAAGTTTTATGTTATATATACTTTACTACAATTTTTTTTAATGGGCAAGGGAAACAGAGCCAGAAAATCCCAGAAAGAAAGCCACAGAAGAGGGAGCTCTGTGAAGTTAGAAAAGCTTTCCTTAATCTTGACTCATTCTAAACGTTCAGGAAAACTAATTTCACATAAAAAGGAGCAAAAAAAAAAGTCAAAGTTATTTTAAGAAAATACAAGAATAAGGAGCAGACTAGCTTGCCCACAATGGAAATGTGCTACAAAGATGTGTCCGCAAAACAAAAAAGAAAGTGACACAGCTGGAAGGAATACTGCCAAATTATGAAGGGTTAGGAAGTTTGGCTAGGCAATGTTTATAAGAAGGAGGTGTAGTGAAAGCGGACGGCTTGATCTGTCAGGGCAATTATCTCTCTGCAGGAAAACTCACATATACATTGTTCTCTCTCCCCCTAGCCTGTGACCTTCTAAAGGACAAGGACCCTAAGGTGTACTGGACATTGTTGCTGAACAACTTTCACTATACCTGATGGCATAGTGACCACTCATTCACTCAATGAAGTCTTGTTAAGGACTGAATAAAATGTTTAAGGATCAGTTTCCTGCTGGATGGTCTGTCTTGCTACTTTACAAGTAGAAGGATCTAAGGGTGGTCTATGGTTCTAAGGATGCTGCTGATCCACTGGCATCACTTGGAGGCTTGCAGAAATACAGATTATTGCCTCACCTCCCCTGCCAGACTTCGTAGAAATCACATTTTTATAAGATCCTCAGTTGATTAGTTTACACATAAAGTCTGTGAAGCACGGACACAGGAGATGACTTGGGATCAACCTCTACTTTAGCGACACCGACAAGGAGACACATGTGAGAATCACAGACTGCCCTGACAAAGGCTGAGCCTACCAGTCCTTACACAACTGCTTCCTAGGTGAGCTGTTCCACCAGTGGAGAGTTCCAGGCCGGTGCAGACTGTGCCCCTCGCATGCTTTGACTGGGTCTTGAGGATTTCAACAGACTTCTCTCCCAAACCCTTAGACCTTTGCAGACAGCCAATCAGTCCCAGGGAACTTTCTTTGAAATGAGGGTGCGGGGGTGGGGACGCGAGACTCCACCACCAATTGGTTCTATGTCCTTGTACCTCTCAAGAAGCTTCTGAGTACACATCTGTAAAACAAGGATGCTACTGCAACCTGAATAAGATAACGGATAAGATAGTTCCATAAACTGTAAAGCATTTTTCTGTTTCTGCTAACAAAACTTTTAAGTGCCGCACTACACATATTAGTTAATCATAATGACAACAGCAGCTGCAAACGAACACGCCCACTGAAGTGCATTCCCGAAGAGCCTATCAAAGTAGTCGGCGCTCAACTGAAGTTCGTGGCGCCAGTTTTGGAAAGGTGCCTGGGGCGTGGACAACCTTCCCCTATCCACGACCGGTCCCGGGACCTTTCCTTCCGGAGCTTACCTGAACTACCTTAGTGAATTCCTCGTACACTCGCTTCTTAAGATGCGCCGCCATGGCTGCTCGCGGACCCTCTCAGCTTCCGTACTTGACAAGGAGGCGGGGAGTGGCGGTAGGGCAAAGGAATCCGGAAAAGTAGCTGGGGCCGGCGGACCCAGCCACCGTCCCACAAGGCAGTGGGATCCAGGAGAGAGAGGCCGCTTCTGGCTGCTCGACTGCTCCACCGCAGTGAAACTGGGTTTGGCAGCCTACTCCTCTAGCGCCTGGGGAAACGCAATGGAGAGCTCAGCGCGACGGAGGCGGAGCCTCTGGAGACGGGAGAACCAATGGGAGCTTTCGAGGACTTGGTGGTCTTAGAATGTCCCAGGGACCAGCGCGGAACTGAGCGAAATAAGGAAGGAAGCAGGAGGTAAAGGGCAGAGGCGGGGCGCACCAGAGCGAGAAGCAAAACCCGGAGCTACGTAAGCGATTTTGATTACGGAGGCAACCGAGGCTGGGCTGACGTTCCCATCTTCCTCTGTTAACTCTGTGCGCTGCTGGTATTTCCCTGAGCTGTCCTTCTGGACAGTCTGTGCGCCTCCCCTCCCCAGGCCTGGGGTGCATATTCCTGCCTCTTCCCTTCCAGTTTTCAAAAGCTACCCATCCTTTAAGGAATCGACTCCTCCTCTGATAGCTGTGGTAGAGTGGAAAGAATCCTCAGGCCAAGGTGAAGCAACAGAACTTAATAAGAAGTAGCCTCAACTACAAATGGGTTGATAACACCTGACAAACGTAGTGACAATGTAATGGGGCGGTGCAAAACCAGTTTCCAGGCTCTGAATGAAGTGTAATTCACGTGTTAGTGTTAATACATCCAAGGTCAATTTTACAACTTATATTAAACTTCATCTGTTCATTCTTTCCAATTTGAGGAGTTAATGTGGTATGCTTAGAAAAAGCAGCAAGCCCGAAACTAAAACAAAAAAAAAATGTTGAATGTAAACTGTAATTGGAAAGGAAAAATAAAGGCAGCAAGCTGTGGTTGTACAGAAGAGCCAAAAATGCATTGCAAGATTGTCTTTACCCTTGAGGTCCTACAGCCTAACTGGAAAGAGAAACACGCAAGCTGATAATTAGTGGGCAGCCAAAGTGTGCTGGATAACAGGAAGGTGGTTCAAACAGACCTGACTTCTTCAAGATGTCTCAGCGGAAGTTTTACAGAGGAAAAGATTTTTAACCTGGCTTCAAAATACAGGCACCTCTAGGAGACAGTGGTTCCATGCCACCTCAGTAAAGCGACTATTGCAATAAAGTGAGTGACTTGAAGTTTTGGTTTTCCAGTGTGTATAAAAGTTACCTTTATAGTTTACTATAATGTGTATTTATATATGTTATATAAATAAACATATTTATATAAGTGTCCAGTAGCATTATGTCTTAAAATAATGTACTGCCTTAATTTTTAAAAATTATTGCTTAAAAAAATGCCATCATCTGAGACTTTAGGCAAGTCATAATATTTTTGTTGGTAGAGAGTTTCCCATTTATAAGAAACAATAAAGTGGAGAAGTATAAAGTGAGGTATGCCTATGGTAAATTTTCCAGAAAGAAAGGCATCTCAGGCCACAGAGACTACTGTATATACAAATATATTGAGTGCAATGAAAAGCACTTAGCAAACAGTACATTTAATAAATGTTAGCAGCTATTATGATTATCAATGCCATAATCTATCAAATTAAGCTGCCAGGAATTGTAAAGAAAATCATTATTTTATATAACACATTAAGAAAAGTGCTGATATTAAAAACAATGGTTTCTTATTGCTTAGATTTGTTATGTATATTTACTGAGTGAAGAGCTCTTTGGATCCTTTGTCATATTGCTGTGGTTCCATGCTTTGTGTGCAAATAAAACTTTTCATTTCAAAGCAATTTTTAGGGTAATCTCGCTGAAGATACATTAAGTGGCAATTAAAGACAACACATGCACAGAGTTCAACCGAAGTGATGATGACATGAACTGTTAGAACCCAGTCTACACATGAAAACCTGGCACACACTGATCTTAAAATGCGTCCTAATGCGTCTAAGCATTAATGATACAAAGTTTATCATTGTTATTGCTAGATATGAGACTGCAGAAGGAAGTTTGGTGCACTGAGAAAACCAAAGAAAATTCAGTTCATGTTAAGAGTAAAGTGCTACAGGGAGCAGAGAGGAGCAATAGAAATAAAACTGAGAGTCTGAGGCCAGATTGGTGTAGAAGCCACAAGAGTCCACCTTCTTTAATATTTGCCATATTTGTGATGCTAAGATGTATTTTCTCATAATTAAATCACATTCTTTAATTCTGGAATGAAAACTTTACTGAGTTGATGATATTTGTTGTTGACCTTCATTATTGCCCATGAGAATACAATGAAATGTCCCAGTGAATACCTTGGGCTTCATATAGAGTCCTCCCTGTCCCTATTGTGTAACAGCAACCCAATTTCCCCTTGGAAATTAGGATCAGTCCCACATACTGGGATAGTAACCCCTTCTCTGCCTGTTGGCTGAGAAAGAAGAACCCCACATGACCAGGGGCAGTCTCGTTACATGTTCCAATGTAATAGAACACTGATAGTGTTCTTTAGTGAAACTGTTCCTCCCTTGGGAACTAAGTACTCCTAACCCACTGAACCCAAGAATTCATAAATGAGTTAGTAGGTGTACAAGTGACAAAAACTGCTCCTAACTCCACCCATTAGTTCCCAAACTCATGCATTCTCACTGTGGGAGAAATAGTAGCATAATTTAGCTGTTGGTATAAGGCAGTGATTTTCAACCCTTTTCATCTCATGGCACACATAAACTACTAAAATTCTGCAGCATGCCAAAAATTATGTTTTTTGCTGATCTGACAAAAATAGGTATAATTTTGATTAATTCACACCAGATGGCTACTGTTGTATTGGCTGTTGTTGTTTTTTAATTTAACAATCTTAAGGGAAAAGAGGTCAGTGCCCCTGACTAAATAGTCAGGTATTGCATGTTTTAAAATTGTTTGTGGCTCACTGGTTGAAAATCACTGCCATATACCACAAACCTCTAAGTCACTACTCCAAATTCACAACATGTTGTCTCTCAGCTAGCACCATAACAGAGTCTACAAAAGGTCATTACACTGTTTTTTATTGTGGCTCATTTGGTTGGAGTATCATCCCGTGAACTAAAAGGTCACTGGTTCAATTCCTGGTCAGTGCATATGCTGAGGTTGTGGGTTAGCCCTCTAGTCAGGGCGCATGTGCAAGGCAGCTGATCACTTTGATGTGTTTCTCACATGAGTATACCTCTCCCTCTCTCTCACTCCCTTCCCCTCTCTCTAAAATCAATGGGCATTGCCCTGACTGGTGTAGCTCAGTGGATTAAGTGCCAGCCTACAAACCAAAAGGTCACCAGTTTGATTCCCTGTCAGGGCACATGCCTGGGATGCAGGCCGGGTTCCTCAGTTGGGGGCGTGCAAGAGGCAACTGATCAATGTATCTCTTGTACATTGATGTTTCTCTCCCACTCTTTCTCCCTCCCCTCCCCTTTCTCTAAAAATTAAATAAATAAAAGCTTTAAAAATAAAATAAAATAAGTGGGCATGTCCTCAGGAGATCAAATATATAGGTACGTGGCAACTACATTTGAGTGGTAGGATTCCTGGAAAGACCAATGAGTTTCTTTGCCAAACTTCTTTCACTATAAATAAGCTCCTTCATCAGGAGCAATGTGTAGAATACCATGAAAATGAACAAGTCATGGTAGGGATGTTTACAGAGAGAGACCTGAGTCAGGAGACCCTCCCTCCCTGACCTTGGTTCTTGTCCAGCTTGCAAGAGACAAATTCAAGTAAGAGACAAACACATAGTGGAAATGAGATAGTAAGTTGATTTATGAAACGTACAAGCACAAAAGCAGGAATCCAGCAAGTCTAAATGCCCCACATACAGAGGAAACAAAGTTGTTGGTACGTTTGTTAGTGAGTTAGTGAGTTAGTTTTATACACTTGATTTGAGGCTACAAGTGGCTACTTAGCTAATCTAAGTATGCCAACAATTGGGGTTTGGGAGTTATATATCTTAGCTAACTTCCAGAGGTACCCTTCCTCCTTCCCATTCTAAATCTTGGGAATAATGTACAATTACTAAAGCTTTCTTTCTCAGTAAAGGTTCTTTGTCTTAGTGAAATTGTTACACAGGATCCCTTGCCCAGCACAGTCACGAGGACTCCCCTCCCCCCGGCACTGTCCCTGCTTGCATGTTTGGAACACCTGGTGATCTTATCAAACCAGGGCTAGGACTGCTAAGTTAACTGGTGAGCCATGTCTCCTTTTTGCTTCTAGCCTTCTGTATTAAATTCGTTGTTAGATTTTAATGGGAGGACCCTGCTTTATTTCCCCTGTGGCTGCTCATTCCTAGTTGTTACCTAACAGGGCTGCCAGAAACAGTGCAGTTAAGTATTAGGGTTCTCCAGGAAAACAGAACCAATAAGAGAGGGGGAGGGGGAGGGAGCTATTAGGCTAACATAACAATATGTAAACTAAGTGGCTAGTAAACAGAAATTTATTTCTTACAGTCCTGGAGGCTGGGAAGTCCAAGATCAAGGTGCAGGTAGATTCAGTCTCTTGAGAGCTCACTTCCTGGTTCACTGCTGCATTTTCGTGAGTCTACACGTGGGAGGAGAGGCAAGGAAGCTCTCTGGGGTCTCTTTTGTGAAGGCACTAATCCCATTCATGAGGGCTCTACCCTTATGACCTAATCATTTCCTAGTGGCTCTGTCTCCTAATACACATTGAGGGTTAGGATTTCAACATACGAATGCAGAAGGGGGCACAAACATTCAGTCTATGGCAGTAGGGAAGTCAAATCTGAATCTGAGTCCTGTAAGAATAAATCACTCCCTCTCTGATGGAAAGGATCCAGTATGTGGTAGAATGATTGCAAAAATGGCCCTAGTTCGCCCTAGCTCTGTAAACTCCTTGAAATATAATTTTGAAGCCACTTCAATTAAGAAATGGAATCTATATCTTCACCTGTTGAACTAGACTAGCCTTGTGCCTGCCCAGTAGAATGTAGCAAAAGTGACAGTGCGCTAGTTTTGAGCCTAGGGCTCTAGGTCAATCCACTTACCAATTCTGCAGGCCTTTTGCTTGACTTTGGAACCTTATCGTTGTTATGAGAGTGAGTCCAACCTAGTCTGATGGAGGGAGAGTGAGTGACCACGTGGAATCAAGCCAAGCTGACTCAGCCGAGGCCATGTTAGACCAGCCACAGCCCAGCTGAGCCAGCATCTGACTATAGATGTATGAGTGAGCCCAGCAAAGACCAGAACTGCCCGACTGTAGGCTTATGGGAAATAATTAATGATTGTAGTCTTATGGCTTTAAGTTTTGGGGTCAGGGGTATGTCCTGTGATCAGGCAGTCCCTTAAATGCTAAGTCTACTCTCCATAGCAGAGAAGGGAGGAGAATGGATGGAGAGAGGGGCAG